TACTCTATGGACTACACAGTGCAGAAACAGTGCCAATCATCCAGGTAATTTTATATGTGACAGTTGGACTTTTTTAGCTTCAAACGCCACAGAGCAATTTTCATAGGAATGAATGCGGCCCCGCCTCCAACGCTGTTTCCAGTTTTCTTTATACATCCACGGCCTAGACGCACCACACACACACACATTCAAATAAATGGGAGGAATGGCGTTTTTGCCGCGACGCCAGATTTGGTGTGAATGCAGCAATCCTCTGCACCTTAAACCCCTGAGCATTGAGTGTGTACTGCACAGTGTCTTACGGGTGCCTGCTAGCAGCCAAAATATAAGGCAAACTAGTTCGCTCAATAACATGGCCATGCACAAGTACGTTTGATTACTTATGTCAATTCCGGTACACTGAGAGCCAGTCTACCGGAGTCAAATTCTTTGTATACACACGTACTTGGCGAATAAAGCTGATTCTGATTCTGATTAAGCAAGATGTTCTATGCCAGTGGTTCCCAACTGGTGGGTTGTGGTGCAGAAGTGGGTCGTGGGTCCATTCTGAATGGACCACAAGTGACTTGCAAACATGTCAAGTTTAAGAAAAAACACACACACTATTTTTAAGTGCATTTTATTTACAGCACAGACTTTTTATTTTGAAGTACTGTTTCTTGCTGTGGAATGAGTGACTAATGAACGGCTTCTTGACAGAGACAAAAAACTAGCTTAACAACATGGCCAAACAAAAGACTCAGCCGAATGTATTAAACGGTGTGGACCTTGAACTAGCGACTAAGGAGAAATCTGGACCTCATGGCCAGACCGGTTGGTAACCACTGTTCTATGCAGTCAAGAACTGTTCAACAATGAGTTAATTCAAACTTAAGTTGCATTTAGAAATGATACACTCCTCCAGCCCACTCTCAACAAATGCATCAAAACCACTGGAGTTTTGTCAAGAAGAAAGAAAAGAGCAGGCACTCTGTGCAGATTATCAAACCACTTAAGCATGTCACACTGTTGTCTTATTGTACAAATAGCTCTTGGCATGTTCCTGAATCAAAAATCATATAACTGCCTGATAATATCATTCAGTGGGGGGTACACAAAATGTCTGATGACAAACAACAACTGCCCAGAGCTTGCATCAAGGCAAATGGCTAATACACACTCCAGCAGCATCCAAGGATGTAGTGAATTGTGCCATTTTACTGGTTAGCAGGAAAGTGACATTTTAAGAGCAGTTTCTCTCCAGTGAGCCACTGTCCCCAACATCAACAGAGTTTTCAGTAATACAGATTCATGCTTGGATTCAGTAGGAACGATGTGGAATAAGTGTGTTGCAATGGAAGTGGTGGCGCAGCCTGTGTTACTGACATGACAATAATCTGTGGCTGGTGAGGAATATTCTGGAAAAAGGAAAGGCATGCAAAATGGAACCACTGCTTTTTGAGTCCTTAGTAGACAAGGACATGGTGCCAGTGCAACATGGAAGTCTTAAAGATGTTGTGGTGAGTTACATTAAAACTGAGCCCAGAGGACAGAGGATGTGTGAAAACCCTGAGATTCTCTGGCACCACAGGCTACATGAGGCATATGCTCTTTTAATCAAGGCAAGTCAAGACAGTATCTTTCAAGGTTACACTCTTTTTAGTGCTAAATTCCTTCATGTTTCCACAATGTTTCCTTGCTGAGCTGCATTGGAGGAAATTTAGCACTGCACAGTGTGTGTTGCAGGTGTCATGCACATAAATCTGTGTTGCATTCTCTGTTCTTTTTCAACAGGGACTGTACAGAAAGGTATAAATGATGTGGTTGAGCCGTAGAATTTTTTCAACTGCCCCCGGTTTCACCTGACTTTGTGCACAAATCAATTTAAGCACAACATAATAAAAACATGCCCTCTTAACATGTCTCGCCCATGTTGTGTGGTTCAAAGGACAGTTAAGTGAGGGGGCTTCAGCACAACACAACAGCTGACTGGGTAAGGTGAGTACTGGTTGCCATGGTGGCAGAGGTTCCTGCTTCCTGTTGCAAGTGGCATGAGCATCATGCAATTTACACATCTCCATCCCACTTATTGAGTGGCGTGGGCAGCTGCTTAAAGAGTGCCAATGACACCTGGTAGCTGTGTGTAACATGCTCAACAGCAGAAAAATATGTAAGATAATAGAGCAGTGTTCCCTTGCACTGATTTGTCTGTGGCGGTCTGCCTCAATATCAACATTGAACGCCACATATTGACTTTCTATAGTTGTTTTCACTATTTAGTAATCGGTAAAATCTTGTTCCATTGTAGAGCTGCGTGCAGCACATTCATTTGCTCAGACCCTGCCTGCTCCCCTCACTCTCCCTCTGTTTATTAGACTACAAATGAGACAAGCTAGCAAGCACATCCTGCAGTCTCTCCCTGCAAAGGAGAGGACTTTGCCAGGGAGAGAGCAGGTCGCAGCTCTGGAGACGGACCTTCAGCTCAGTTGTAACAACTCAAATTCAGCAAGAGCAAACCCCAGCCATTGCAAACCCTCAGCTACCACCAGTGTGGGGAAACATTGTGTCGGGACACATCTAATATTTCTAATCCCCAAAATATGCTTCACTTTGATTTGACAATTTACAGAGTTTTTTAGTTGAGCTACTATGCATACGTTGTGTACCACACACAAGAACAGAAATACATGACAAGCTGCCAGTGTCTTGCAGAGAGCATGATCCCTCACCAAGGTTATCTCTTGGGTAGACACAGAGGAGTAGTGTGTCCTCCTCTATGCCCTTGCTCTTTGCTTTTGAACAGTGGCATGCTGCTTTCCCTCTGTGCAAGCTCTGGTCTTGACTGCTACAATTGAAGCAGGTCAGTTAGCGCCCACTATGTCATGGCCTTTTTTGATATGTACTGCTAATGAAATCCACCTCCATTGTTAGGATGCGACTGCTTCAGCAAAATCTGCTTGGAGACAGGCCTCAGAGTCCAGGGGAAGGTAAATCAAACTGATTCAAAGCCATTTATACAGAGCGTCAACATAAACTTCAAATAGCTGCACAATTGTTCGATAGAAGTGACTCACCCTTAAGACCATGGTGATGTAAAAAATAATGCTAACAGACAGATGAGAAATTATACTATTGACAGTCAGGATTTACTAGCTACCATCACCATCAACTAGCAGGAAGAGTAGATCTCATCACCGTGAGGGGAAGGTTAGACAGCTACTGTGACATGCACACCACTGTGAATTGCGTTTACCAAACTGCAGTGAATTACAAAGCCTTTGACAAGCTGCGTAGCCATGTGACAGTGGTGCAGGTGTCTTTTTTCTGGAAGGAGCAAAAATGCAAAGTACAACTTCCCAGATTGACACATTTTTTTAAGAAAAATGAACAAAGGCGAGGACAACACAGCAAATGCAACCTAGCCTGAAATCAGCCTAATCCAGGAAAATCACATCACACACAGATTACCTACTAAATGGTGATTATTATGGCAAAAAATAAATTAACAGACAGGTGCCAACATCCACATATTATAAAAAATAATGTTGTGCACATTGCTTTTGATTATGACTTACTTGTTTGGTGTCTTATTTGACAGTGATATGCTTGCTGTTTCCTACTTTTTATTGGTCCCTTTAATTAGATAATTTTTTGAAAGTAATTCGGGAAGTATTCACAAAACAAAATGGCTGTTACTCTACTACTACTCTACTACCACCTGTCAGTAAACTTTGAACATTATTCTGTTAAAATTTAATTACTACATGCAGTGGCCACTTAATTGAATGCAACGCAATACAACAGCTCATAATTTCTACATTTATTAAGATAATAATGTCCTGTTTTGATGTTGATTGACACTGTCAGTGAGGTATTAACATAACTATAAATAAAACACACTTCAATGTAATGCAGTCCAGTGCAACACCCCAACTCACTGTGACCTCAGGAATTAACATATAGCTGAATTACCACCTCTCCAAACAAAAACTGTCCATTACAAGCTTCGTCAGGTAGAAATGTGGCAGAGCTGTACATAAGATTGTATAGGTGTACCTAATTAAAGTGACCATGGAGTGTATATGGTTGATGGAGCTTCTCTTGCTAAGGGACCAGGGATAAAATAATGAAGTTCTCTGCTAAAACTTTATGGGGTGCAGTTGCAGGCACTTGTCAATTTCAGTATACACAGGAGTAAACACTTCACTTATATTCTTAACTTTTTTTTCTTACAAACAGATGGAAAGACACTGCAACAAAGTTCAGAGTGTGGGTGATGCTTTCTGTATCAGAAACTACCCAAAAGCAGAGTAAGGAACTTTTGGACTTTGCTCTGACATGTTGTCCCTCTCTACCTACAAAGCCTGAGGGGACCTCTGTCACAGGTGGATGTAAATGTGTTTCCATGCAACAACACGGTCAAGTGGGATTTCCCCTGAGAACTAGGGACTACTGAATTGATATCAGTAATACATGACCCAATACAAATCATGTTTATCTGATTTGATATAGGTCATATTATAATCCCTTATATTATAATCTCTTTGAAGCAGCTAAGCCACACAACAACACAGCTGCCTCAAGCCTTGTAAGTGATTATCAGCAGGTTTATGAAACATTACTCAAAACTTTGTTGTAAACATATGTTTTGTGGTGATAATCTGAACAGAGATGAGCATCATAAATAATCTCATGTTGTGGTTAATAGGAAACATCATCTGGAAGTTGTGTGCTGCTCTTGTCTTGATTGTATTATGAGCTGTAACGTTACTTTAAGCCAGCCTGGACTGAGGACAGCAGACAAAAAGGAAACGGTGAGATGCAATCAGTTAAACAAAACCATCCTCAGCTGCGGTCAGGTTTGTGAGTCGAGCCACGTGTTAGTTTAATGTTACACTGACGCTAGTTGATGGTCTGAGGGAAGCTAGCTAGCTTCCTCAATCACTAGCACGATGCTAGCTAGCACTGATAACCAAGAGCTAATGACTCGTCTGCAGCTGTCTGTAAGCAGGATTCCTTACCAGAACACAGCTCCGTGTTGCTCCTGTGTGCTTCACCGCAGATTCCTTTGTGGTTCACCGACTACATCGTCTGTACTGTGATGTAACGTTACTGTAATAACAGACTTTATCCACAGACATTACATGTCGGCTTTCTCTGCCAGGACGCGGAAAAAGCGGCTGTCCTCCTTGCCGATGGCTTCCGCCTTCCCTGGGAAACACCGTCAGGAGATCTTTTTTCTTTGTGGACTGAGTCAATGGAGAGAGCTGAATCCTAAGCCAAGTGTTTTCCTTCACGGCGCGGGCTATGTGGCTTGTTGTGCCTCTGGTAGCGGCGCTAGACCCAAATCCGCCTCCATTATCTCTATTTGCGCATTTTCAGACAATGTGCCCGAAATTGTGCGTACGTTACACAACGGACTTATTACAACCAATAACAAGGTACGGGGTCTCCGAGAGAGCCCGCCCCCTGCATATTGTATGGCTGACACAGCCAGAGCCTGACGAGGCGGCAGCACGACTCCTTCCGGGCGACCGCACCACGGTTGCCTCCTTGCTGCTGCAGCTGCCCCTGCACTCCCCTACGTGCTGAGGCAGACAGGCAGTAATTCTTGCGCTGGCAGTGACTGAGCTGATCACTGAAGTCCTCAGTGGGACTTCAGTGCTCCCCTGTGGAGCTTCAGTACCTCACTGCTGATTTTAAATGAGCACGATGAGCCAGGTTACCGGGGAACTACTTGTCTGCTGGACTAGATGTGGTTGGTCTTTAAAGGGTTAACAAGTTCCATACCACCATTTTGTGTGCAAGACTTGCTACGAAATGGCGCCACCCCTCCTTGTGCTGGTCTATGACAAAACCCCTTTGGCTGGGGTGGGGAGGGGGTTGCACATGAGAACCAATTCTCATGTAGGAAAAAAAATGTTCTACAAAAGAAGAAAAACTCAAAACCTATACTTTGACATAATTGGTGAACAGGATCCTCTGAATATGTCTTACAATCTGTGACCAGGCAATTACTTTATCCAACAGGTGCATGCACCCATCACTTTGGTTTTACCTCAGCACGTGCAGATCATAAAGTAATTGAATGTATATAAGTGGTCACAACAAAAGTGTGCAAATGAATGTGAAACACCTTTCTGACCAAGTCAGACCATGTAAACCTCTCAACCTGCCACCTAGAGGAGAAAAAAGGACCCACACATATAAAAGAACTGGGTAGATAGCTGTCTGTCTTGTGGGAGTCAGTGTACTTACTGCAACTTTCAATAAAAAAAAAAAGTCTGGACCATCTGACACACTCAGCCTGTATTCTTGATATCAGGGCTGACTCCCAAAATATCCCTTTAATGTGTATGAATACATGACTTATTACCTCATGTGTAGTTACTCACTACAGTCAAAACCAAGCACAGACATAAGGCTGAAGAAGGCCCCCTCCCCCCACCACACATTTCAAAAGTTCTAATGACCCCGCAATGCAGTAGTGCCCCCGCACTACCTCAAACAGTAAACAATACAAAACAACTAAATAACCCCTCAACTGTGGCTGCACTTCCAACATGTCACCAAAGCTAGCCTACCTGAAAGAAGAGGTCTCTGCAGGGTCATATGTTAAAGGCCACGGTATGCTTGAAGCAAACTTGTTTGTAGGACATTTGGAAAAACAGAAAATGTTGTTCCGAATAGCCACACTTGTAGGCAAGACAAAAACCCTGCTGTCATAAGCCTTGTTCCCATTGGACCATAAACAAAACAGTAACACCCACTAACATCTGGCTTTTGTCTTTAGCAGGGAAGGTTACAATCGACATTCATTTCCGGGACAAATGACCCCTGAGTAGTCACAGGTATTTATTGGCTCCAGCACCTATCGGCTCTGATCAGCAGTATTGGAAATATGATACCCCGGTGGATGTGCTAATTTTTGCACCTTTTCTGGCATGTTGCAATGACGCGCTGCCACAAATTCCATTTTTTTCTATGCAAGCAGCACTCAAACATCGTTCACTGGCCTCCATGCTGCTTCTTACTGTCTACTTATCTGTTTTCTGGCATGTTCCTGATGTTGAATGTGACAGACCAATAAAAGAACAGAAAGGCAAACGTATCTACTGCAGAGCCGTGTACATGGCATTAAGGACTCTAGTGTTTATTTTTAGCGTATTTTCCCGCATTAAAAAACCCCCACATATATGCGCACAGTTTGGTGAAAACAGAGAGGGGCAACATGCTACAATTGTTTAAATGGAGATAACCACGCACTTTCAGACTCTCCTGAAAGGCCTTCACAGGGTGTGAAGTTTAGTTTAGTTTAGTTTGTACACACAAAAGGTGATGGAAGTAATTGTGTGAAAATGAAAAAAGAGAGCTTGGGAGAGAAGCTCGAATCCTGCCTCTCTCAACTCACCCCACTTGACCAATTGTTGCATGAAGTGGCTGTGAAAGTTCCAAAGACTGGGGGACGCCACTTTCACAATTCCAACACTGGAAAAGTTTGTGTCTGTATTTGTGTGTTGGGGGGTGTTCCTTTACAATCTAACAAGCATACCAATGCCTTAAGCCCAAACCCTCAAAAACTAAGTAAAAGTTTTAGTGTAGGTTGGTGAAGAAAGCCCCCGGGAACAGTGGTAGATTGTGAGGCAGTTTTGGCATAGTGGCCCTGCTTGGTATTGCAGCATCATATGATGCACACTGGCCCAGAAATACTTTTTTCCCATACACAATCATTAGAAAAGGAGTGTCAAAACCTGCCAAAATGACTTTGCATTTTTAGAATTTGATCCACTGGGCCCATTAACATTTAAAAAGCGTGATAGGGTCACATAGTATATCAGTCTGTAGGGGCTTGACTAAGGAACCAGAGAGTGGCCAGCTGAAGTCACACACAGACTGAAGTATGGATCTTGGTAGTTTCAGAGGTACTGCAGAGATGCCCTTGAGCAAACCAACATACCTCCAACTGCTTGAAGCATCGACTATGTGGCAGCCTGTCAACTCTGACATCTCTCCACTAATGCATGTCTATAGGCCCTGTGCGTAAGAGTGTGTGCATGTTGAGCCTTCATGTGTAATGAGTAACAATGCAATTTTTCCCATTAAAGGATTATAAAGAAGCCTACCTCTAATGCTCTAATGTACAGGGACCCCACAGGACATAGGCTGACTCAGCCCAAGGAAGTTTCAACCACGAATGCTATCACCAGGCCAGGCTTGAGAAGGAAACTAGTGTGCATGTTCTAAAGCCCTGGAGACTTTTTTAGTGTATGTGCCCAGTGAGCAACTTTCCAAGAAATGAATGAGGCACCAACTTGGTAGTAGTATGATACCTTAATACATCCATTGGTATGAATGGAAAGTCACCTTTTTGTCTATCATGGTGCTTTAAGTACATTATGTAATGATGACTCAGACTGAGTGCTTTTGTTCAATGTCCCCTTGATTATTCAGCCCAGTGCTTTCTTCACAGCTGATATTAAGCCCAAAGAGTGTATTGCCAATTGCCGAAACCTGTGTTCAACAAAGTCAGGAATCTTATGAGTGGCCCTCAGATGTACCTTCACTCATTCATCACTGCTTCCTCTTTGTGTCCTAGTTTTTGTAGTATTACCTTCTGTAATGTTGAGTCCACATGGCAGGTTACCAAAATCTAGCAATAATAAAAAATAGAATTGATGTTTGGGTTGTACACAGAAAACACCCACTGCAGCAGAACTGCAATTTGAATTCCCTACAGATGTCTTGCCAATTTGGTGACCAAGAAGATACCCATGGGTTGCTCCACAGAATGGAAATTGTCCTCCTCCAAAATATGAACACATAGGTTGTTTGTAAGCAGCTTATTACAACCAGGCCCCCAGGAAGTGCCCCGGGTTTTGAAGTCAATTTTTGTAGTGGTCAAACAGTGGCATTACATCTGTCACATGATGCAATGTGGCCCAAAAATGCTTTTCCCCATATACTTGTGTGGTGAAAGAAACACCTGTAAATCAGTGGATACATGTTTTTTGGAGCGTCACAACCCCTGCGAAGCATTGTTGCCTTGCAGGAAGAGGGTTCCTGGTTCAAACCCAGGGCGGAGGGTTCAAATTCAGGGGTGGGGGAGCCCCTCTGTGTGGAGTTTGCATGTTCTCCCCGTGTCAGCTTGGGTTCTCTCCAGGTACTCCGGCTTCCTCTCACAGTCCAAAGACATGCAGTTCAGGTTAACTGGTGACTCTAAATTGGTCGTAGGTATGAATGTGAGCATGAATGGTTGTCTGTGTCTGCCCTCTCTGGCGACCTGTCCAGGGTGTACCCTGCCTCTCGCTCAGTGTCAGCTGGGATAGGCTCCAGCCCCCATGACCCCCAACAGGATAAGCGGCTATGGAAAATGAATGAACAAATGAATGGTCTGATAACATCCGAAAATCTAAAGGAGCTGCACGATTTAATATTTTTATCCCCGTTTAAGTTGGTCCGACTCAGTTGGTGGAAGTCCCTACTGAACCTGCTCTGTGGGCCACACAGTGCGGAAGCAGTACCGATCGACCAGATAATTTTATACAAACAGGTTTGGAGGTAGATGGTGGAAGTCTCTAGTGTGCCTGCTCAGTGGGCCACAGTGTGGATGCAGTACCTATGGGGTAATTGTATACATGGCGGTTAAACGTTTTTGGCTTCATGCACCACTGAGCAACTTTAATGGCAATGATAAGGCCTACCTCCAAAGCGGCATCCAGTTCTCTTTATATATCCATGATTAAAACCCATATTTACATTTATTGTTAGGTGGCAACGTCTAGTGGCCGCAGTCATAACAATGGAAGCAAAAGAGGAAGTTAGGCAACACAATATGAAGAGCAACAAGGTCCTTGTAGAATGAGGTTGAATGGATGGATGGGTCAAACAAACACAGGAACCCCGTGTGGAACCAGAAGTTGATGTTGTTCTTTTACCAAAGGTACATGACGTTACATAACAAGCATACTAATACCAACCCAAACCATGATCTTTTCTTTAACCTAAAGCTTCCTTCCACAGTCCAAAGACATGCAGGTTAGGTTAATGGTGTCTTTAAATTGCCCATGTGAGCGTGAATGGTTGTCTGTCTCTATGTATCAACCCTGCGATAGTCTGGCGACCTGTCCAGGATGTACCCTGCCTCTCGCCCAGTGTCAGCTGGGATAGGCTCCGGCCCCCCCACGACGTTCGACAGGATAGGTGATTACAGAAAATGAATGAATGACTAACAAGTGCAACTTTTGCATCGTTTCATGTTGCCTATGTCTCGGCCAAAAACCTGCACTGAACCCATCACAAAGACTACTGCCAACAGCCAACTACCACATATGTTTTGCACCTTCTTGGGAGGAAAGGACTCTCCATAGCTGCAGACAGCAGTAGTCTGGCCATTAGTTTACTTTGCTCACATCCGCTTCTCTTCTCGCACTTAGCTCAACTGCCAATCAAAGACTGATTTCATTCTAAATCTGGGGTAATGCCATAGTTACGCTATCTAATCAATACTGTTGCAGTGGTAGCAACTTGT